AAGTTGAGTTTGTCATTTTCCCTTACCGAAGCAACAAGATTTTCTGAAAAATAAGTAGGTCAACAGCAAGAATGGAGATAAGGAATGGTTTATTTCTTATTTCTTTTGTTGAATTTTATGATAAATAATTTTGCTTCCTTTTTATACTTGTTACACCTTTTCCATGTTCTTCTGTCATGTTTTTGCTGAGGACTGCCATATCCCTTGTTCATGTCCAATGTTACATTCTGTGTTTAACAAGTAGGTTCGGTGTTGTACTCAACCAAATCATTCAGACCAAGCAGGGTGCTGCTGGGTCTTTGGTTTCAGAACCCTAAGACTTGCCTGCCTCAGAACAAGTTACCTATCCTACTGTGTAATTTTTACAGAAAGTCGGCCCAGTCAGATTGCTGATTCAGCCGAACCAGACTGCTGACTTGGGCTTGGGGCCATGGCGAGTCGGGACCTGAGTCTGAGCCTTAAATCACTGATTATGTTTGAATCCTTTGCAACCTTCTTTTGTTTGCTTTATCTGTTCAATTTTTTACTTTAAACAAAAAAGAAGGGTAAGTAATTTTTTACTTCCAAAGTATATTTTGTTTACTTTATCTGTTTAATGCTTTATTTCCAAGTGTTAGAGAGAGAGGAATTCGAAAGACACCCACCTTAATTGGTGTAGTTCACCCACAAAAAGGCTGAGGTAGGGTTCTGTTTTGTCGCAAAGTATATATTGTGTTTCTTTCATGTATGCTACTCAATGAAATTCTGTTTTAGTTTTGTACATTCTGGTTTGCGTAGTGTAATGTTTGGATGTTCTTGCTTATTGATTGTTTTGCTTTTCATAGAGCTTCATAAGAAGGAGACATGTGAGGCAGTGACAATCATAGAAGCGCCTCCATTGGTTGTTGTTGGAGTTGTGGGTTATGTGAAGACACCTCGCGGGCTTCGCACTTTGAATACTGTTTGGGCCCAGCATTTGAGTGAGGAATTGAGGAGGAGATTCTATAAGAATTGGTACAAGTCAAAGAAGAAAGCTTTTACCAAGTATTCCAAGAAATATGAATCTGAAGATGGGAAAAAAGAGATAACTGCCGAGCTAGAGAAGATGAAGAAGTATGCTACTGTTGTGCGTGTTTTGGCTCACACACAGGTGCTAATTCATAAAGCTTTTACATATGCCTCGCCTTGCTTTTTGATCGCTGGTTTTGTGCAAGTTGTTACATTTTTTACCAGTCAATTCTCTTGGTTACCATTGTGAGGTGTGGCAAATTTACGTTTTACCCCCCAATTATACTTGGGTTCTTACACACCCAATATTTTTTGTTAAAACCTTTCGTAACCCCCGTCCCCCCCTCCCTCCTCCTCTCAAAAACCCCTTACATGTGTTTCTTATTGAAGCACTTTTGACAGTAATGCTCCTACTCTCTGGTTTTCGCTCTAATCCCTCTCTCCCTTATGCCCGCTTGTTTTTGTCTTCCTCTCTACTTATAGAACTCTGATTCTGGCACCGAACTCCCCTGAGAATCACCAGAAAATGTGTCCTGCCTCTCTACATGCATCTCCTTTAGCTCAAATGAAGAGATTGGAGATTGGAGATGTTTCACCTTTCTTTTCTCTCACTTCCCATCTCCAATCCCCCTTCTTCTCTCTCTCACTCACTCACTTTCCTAGCCTAAATTGGCAGAGTGTTTTTGCTTGCTTGCGTCTTTCTTTAGCCTACCTGAGTTACTGCTTTGCTCAATTACTTGGCTATTTGAAAGGTAGGGCTTTTAGTTTTGTGAGAGAATTTTGTGGGTATTACTGAGATATCTTTCTTCTTTTCGGTATAGTGTTCTCTTGATCTCTATGATTGTAACTGTCTTTTGATCTTCTCTTGAGATGCATAAAATATATTAGAGAGTGCAGGGTTAATGCTAGTGGGTTTTACCAAAGGTTTAATTTAATTTTTCCTGAGAATATTAGGTGTATTTGTGTAGTTGCGAATAATAAGGGGGTAGGACGTAAATTTCTATTTGAAATATCTAGTTCTATAACTGTGAACATCCTTCCTTGGTTCTTGGATAATTTGGTGGTGGGCTTCATCTATGTTACAAAGCTCTGCTCTGGCCACGCCATGTGGCAAAACTATGGCTATTGAAAAATCTTTTGAGCATACTAGGTTTTTATCTTTTTTTCTATAGAGTGGTGTTTGTGGTATTTCCCTTGAAAATTGGATAGTTCTTGAATAACTTAAATCGAAACAATATTTCTTTTAGTATTTCTCCTCCCTTTTCCTAAATAATTATCCATCAGATGCACTTTCTTTGATAAGATGAGGCAAGCACTGAATTGAATTTTGTAAATAAAGTGATAGTGAACCCCAGTAGTTTAAATATGTCAATTTGCTAGTGGTTTGACCCCAATTAGTTGGGAAAAGGCTTGGATGATGATGATGAATTTTTTGGTGGTTTTTTCATTGTTAGCAACTTAACATCACTTACATCATCCTTTATCTGAAATCTTTCTAGATGACTTATTTTCTGAGTTTGTCATAAGCAATGGTTTAAAAAGCGAATCGATGACTTGGATCGGGCATCTCAAAAACCCATCCGGATTGGTGAATCGGCGATTCGGATCGGGAATCGGCCGAATTGGTCGGATTAAGCCTTAAAAAAAATAAAAAAAAATTATTAAAATTCATTATAAATGTTGTTTTTTAGGAATCCAATAAGAAATGGGGGTACTCCATTAAGAATTTTCATTTTTTTGCATCAATATGCGAATATTGAGATGTTATTTCTCTGTACGAATTATTGTTAACCCTTAAATTTATATCACACAAAAGAAGAAACATTGAATTATCATGGATGAAATATATAATCATACATGGACTACAATAAATTAATAATACAAACAAATTATTTTACTGTTGTAACAAAAATAATAGATTATAATACTTTATAACACAAAAAAATTAATAAATAAAATACAAGATTTGATTATCAATGTATAATTATTATTTATAATATTATAACAACTATGATTCAAAAAATATTAAAAAACACTTCCATATCGTACGATAAAAATTAAAATAAATTCCCTTATAAATGTGAATATTATGGCATTACAAAATTATTCAAGAAAAGATTTTCACCTAATAATACAAACTAACAATGTCAAAATTCAGAAAAAAATAAAAAGAAAAAAATAAATACATATCATATATCCTAGTATTTTGCAAAGTATAAGATATACACTACAATTTTTATGTCAATAGGCGTTCACATGGGGAAACTGAAATTAGTCCCACATTGTTCTCATTGAAAAGTACACCTACCTATAAAAGGTAGAGACTGCATTTCAATGGTAAGAAAGTTCAACGCGGTAGAGAATCCATGGGAAGTGATGACGTGGCTCCAACATGGGTACGCTTTTAATGAATGAGGATGGGAAGTTGGGAAGTGAATGATGAGGATGGGAAGTTTAATGATGAGGATGGTAAGTTGGGAAGTGAATGATGAGGATGGGAAGTTGGGAAGTGTGATGGCGTGTGATGTGCTAAGCTGGGAAGTGAATGATGAGGATGGGAAGTTGGGAAGTGTGATGACGTGTGACGTGCTAAGCTGGGAAGTGAATGATGAGGATGGGAAGTGATGACGTTGTGATGTGCGAGAACCGGTTGAAATTGCTAGTGAACCTGTTGAAACCGCCCGTGTTACTGTAGCACGAGCGTGTTTTCGCTTAAAACTCGGCGACTCTCTCTAGACACGGGCGCTTCTGCGTCTTTTACGTGAACCAACACAGGGTGTTCAAAAACCGTGTCGAACCGGGCGACTCCGGTTTGACTCGGCAATTTTTCAATCGCTGGTCATAAGCATTCTGTTTACCATATCGATGAAGTGAGAGAGCAAGACAAGAACCTATTTGCCTACCGAGCATGTAGAAAAGCTCATGTCTTGAATGATTATGTAAAACGTGCTTTTCTCAAATGTTGTCAATTACCCTGCTGCTACAAGTACTTCTTTATTAGTTCATTCTTTACTTGAATCTTTTGTATTTCCAGCTTTTATTGTAAGAGAGAAACATTTGTATTGTGATCTGGTTTTGCAGATTAGGAAAATGAAGGGCTTGAAACAGAAGAAAGCCCATTTGATGGAGATCCAAGTGAATGGTGGCGCTGTTTCTGATAAAGTAGACTTTGCCTACAAATCCTTTGAGAAGACCGTGCCCGTTGACACAGTTTTCCAAAAGGATGAAATGATAGACATTATTGGTGTGACCAAGGGTAAAGGTTACGAGGGTGTGGTGACTCGTTGGGGGGTTACCCGACTTCCTCGCAAGACTCACCGAGGTCTCCGAAAGGTGGCATGTATTGGTGCATGGCACCCTGCTAGGGTTTCCTTCACTGTAGCTAGGGCTGGACAAAATGGGTACCATCACAGGACGGAGATGAACAAGAAGATTTACAAGCTGGGAAAGGCGGGGCAGGAGTCTCACACTGCAATTACTGAGTTTGACAGGTATTATTGTTGTTCTTTTTTTACCTTAATCAAAAAGTATTTTATTATTGGTGTTATTATTATTAAATTACTATTTGATGTACCTAAGATATATACGAAAGCTTCTGGGCCTTGCACTGCAGCACACTATTCAAAGATAATCAGGTGCAGGTGTTAGGGGAACTATGGACACCTTTATGTGAACCTACATGGTGCAGGGATTTTTTTATTATTATTGACAAAACTGCAGAACAGCCTCTTATATAATGTTGTAAATCTGTTTCTGGGTATATTATTGTTAGTTTTCCAAATGAAAAGATATACTGATTCTCTTTGTTCAAAAGATAAAGGTTGCTTGATAATGTTGAAGGTTGGTAGGAGACTTCAGCTTCTACCATTCTGGTTTTGTCATTTTTAGCCCCTCTTTTCAAAACTCACTTCACATGCTTTCTTGATAATAATATTGTTTTCTCAGCTTAAGGATGGTTTAGATTGGAAGGATAGATGCACGTCAAGAACATCTGAACCATCTGTTCAACCATCTATCTGCTTCACAATGAATTTAACAGCTTTAAATTTTGTCGTTGTGCCATTTTGTAATTTCAGATGAACGAAACTGTCCGTATTTCCTTACGTTGCTCAGCTGAAGTGTTACCATTTTAATTAGTAGTAAATCTGCCAGTCTCGTTGTGATGCTAATGGTCTTTCTGTATTGACCTAGACAAAAGACTTGCTTTCCTGAAATTGCTAGAAACATGTTTTTAGATTTCTTCTGTCAACTTGTCTCACAAAAATAATTCTTCTGTCAACTTCTCTGAACATTGGCAATTTTTTTAATGATCTCTTTGCATCAAATTATAGCTTTGAAATTGCATTTATCGATTATGTGCTGATTATCATGACTATATTTAGGACTGAGAAGGACATAACACCTATGGGAGGGTTCCCTCACTATGGTGTGGTTAAGGATGACTATATTATGATCAAGGGGTGCTGTGTCGGTCCCAAGAAGAGGGTTGTGACTTTGAGGCAATCCCTGTTGAAGCAGACTTCAAGGGTTGCTTTGGAGGAGATCAAGCTCAAGTTTATCGATACTGCATCCAAATTTGGTCATGGTCGCTTCCAAACGGTTGAGGAGAAGGCGAAGTTTTATGGCCGGATGAAAGCATAGGTTGAAAATCTTACCCCCAACATTTTGTTCCCTAGTTGTGAGACCTTAGTGTAGGGTCATATTTGAGGTTTATGCTGAACTTTTATTTTGCGATGAATTTGTTTATATTGAGTATTTTAGTGAAATTTAGTGGAGAAACAGATGTTTTCCTTTTGGAAAATATCATCTAGTGGCCGTTTTTGAAACTGTTGTAATGCATCTAAACTTCAGTGGACTTATTCTTTCTTGTTATGGAGTGTCTTTGAAATTGAGGGCTTGGATATGCTAAAATAATATGAGTTTGTATTATTAAGTCTGCTTTTTTGACTTTGAAACCAAATTAATAGTGGATATATAAATGGATAGTCGGGAGTAGTTTTGCACTCCTTTATACAAGCGATCGAAAAATGTTCCCTAAAGCGTTTTAAGATGCATTTTGATCCTTTTGTGTATATTTATATTTGTGACTGTATTTATGGAAAAAGTTGAATAAGGTTGCACCCACACACCATAAAAGTAAAGTGTACATTACAAGTAGAAAAAAATGTTCTGAAGTTGGGAAACCTTTCAATTGATCATTTCGATCACGAGCTACATAGATATAAAGAAATAAAATAATTTCAATTTTTGAAAGTGATAGATATAAAGATATAAAATAATTTCAATTTTTGAAAGTGACAATAGAAAATAGTGCATCTTGTAATAAGTTATTTAGATCATTTAAAAATAGTTATATATATATATATATATATATATATATAGGAAAG